CTAGCGGTCAGGTATTACACCTTTGCCATGGTTTTACTCGATAAAATGAAATGTTATCGTACTGTTTTCGTACTTAAGTCAAAAAGTCAAAAATTGACACTTACACCATGGTTCCCCCTGAGAAGCGATATGTTCAAGTTAAATGTTTAAAAATCGAGTTTTGACCTAAAACATTTTATTTGCCTTAATGTTTACTATATAATATGTAATTTTGACTATTGTTTTTCATAAAATCACGTCGTAAATTATTATTAAATAATCAGTGATTTTTTAGCAAATCAATACCTATGTAGCCTAAATGGCTGTAATAAGCCAAAGAAGAGAAAATATAGTTATTTTGCTAAAAAATTCAGTTTAACTCGAGTAAACAATGTAAAAAGTAACACAAATAAAACATTTTAGTCAAAAAAATATAGGCTTATATTTTAATACATTATACCTATAAATATTATTTCCCTTTATATTTATTTGTACAATTTAAACAGAAAATCTTAATCTGTCAAATATTCTTATAGATTCAATAATGTTATTTTTCGTATGCTGCGTAAAACAACTAAACGACATTAAATCAACCTTAGCCTACTTTGTGATATTAATCAATTAAACAAGGTAATACTTGACAACTAATGTAAGCTGTTTAGAACACATTAATATTAATACAACTGTTTTATGTTTTTTTTTCCTAAAAAATTATATTTTAATTACATCTATGTAATTATAACTATGAAATGTAATCTCTAATATAAATGTACGGTTCACTTTATTTTGTACTTATTAAGAGTTGTGAGTTGTGATACCCAGTCGCATAATGTTTAAAAAATAAAAATAGTCCAAGGTTGATTAAATTACGTTTATTGTTATGTTTCTGTATTTAAATAAAAATAATAATTGAGTAGGTACCTAGTAATTTTTATTTATATAAAAATTAAAGATTAATTATTTTGCTTAAAATAAACCATGTGGGGCATTCCACGCCAAGAGTTCCCAACTAAAATTTCGATAGTTGAACTTTTTTATGTCCGCCCGTTTTCTTTTTATGTTTACACAAATAAAAAAGTGGTCGCTTAGGATTGAGGAATATCGAGTTTCTTAATATTGTTTCCATACTTTACGATACAAATATTTGTAATTACGTCAAACTATTTTTACTCTAAAAAATCATTTTTAACAATTTTTTGCAATTTTCAGCTCTTGTGAACGTTTTGATATTTCTGACAAAATCATTTTGTAAAATCTGATACGGATGCGGGCTGTCCTAGATCAGCAGGGTTTTCTGACATTCATCAAGCCTTTTCACTCAGTTATAATTCCCATCCCACTCTAAAGTTGAGCAATATTTTGACTAGCTATTTATTTATAATCATACCATCTGAATACATTAGAGATTACTCATAGAATATACAAGTAAAAGACGTTGCAGTAAAACTAATATGTATAATATTATTTGATGAGGTTAATTTTATGATACACATTTATTTAACTTAACTGCTATCCTAATATATATTTCGTCTTTGAAAAGGGATATGTACAATACCTACTTTATTTGGTAGTGCTTCGATGTGGATCTAAGAAGTTATCATTTTTTTTTTTTTGACCCACGGTCTTTTTGCCTATGAATTGAAAATGGTATTCAAAAGGTACTTTATACGGTAAAAAAACAAATGTACTTTTTCCCATTTAAATAAAAAAAAGATGTTCTAAGACTGTTTACATTTTTTATCTTAATTACAGCACGATATAACTTTTGAAACATTTTCGAGTTGTTACCAAGTTGTGAGGACAATCTTTATACATATCACGTTTCTCATACAATGAAAAATTAAAAAAGTATCATTAACCCGATCCTCTAAAAGAATTAGAAACTTGTCCTTTATTGACTTTTTATTTTGGCGACTTGCTATAACTTTTTGAAAAACGGTCGTATCAAATCGAAATTTGTATAAGACATATTTTAGGTATTAAGTCCCTACCCCAGGAGAGGTTAGAAGTGTTTTAGATATCTTTATTATTTTTTAGCCACAATATTTTTTTATATGTATAAATCACCATTTTGGATAGCTCCAAAACTGAAAAAATGTAGCTATCCTATGTACTCTCAAATATGAACAAACTGATGATAACGTCAAAACTTTATGACGACCAGTACTTCAGTTATACATATAAATTAATAAAAACCAAAATATTTTTGTAAAATGATCGTTTTAATTTTAAATAGTTTGGCATAATTATAACTATTGGCCTTGAAGAATCTAAGGTTAGGTCAGGATAGATTTTTTTAAAATAGTTACATGGTGCTATGCCATATTTATGTACGTCCTTTAAAATAATAAGTCGAAAATACTATAATTTGTATAGAATAACATATTTTGAATCGTACGACCTTCTCCGTTTGATTTAATTCTCACGATAAACAATATAACAATATTATTTAGTTGTTATAAAACATATATTTAATAATTAATCTAATTACAAAAAAATAGATACAAATCTACTGTAACTATTTAACCAAGATACAAGTGATAACCACTCAATGGAATAACATCATATATAGTTATTATGTTTCTTAGTGTATTCCCACGTTAATAATCGTTCAATGTAAGAATAATTAAGCTTAGTCTCTGTTCACGATTTTAAACAATTAGCATTAAAATATGCATTTATACATTTATAATCGTGGAGCTAACCATAATTAATTAATAAATAACATTGTTTTTTTTTAAATTAAATAAGTATAATGTTGCTTGCTAGCAAATCGTTTTCTTATACATTTACCTATATATTGAGGGGTAACAGCTGCTACCCTTGAAGCCTCTTGTGTGCATAAGAAGTATTCAGTTCTTTTGGAGAATAACTACAAATCGATATCGAGAATTTTTTCTAAAGAAATTGTAATTTCGCAACGTACTTAAAACAGAAAGACTATAAATTATGATTCTTTTACGCAAGGTCACGCTGAAGTCATTGACCTACATATATGTATAAAATGGTTTTTGTCTCGTATTATAATTTTATATATTTAAAATAGTTATATTTCCATAAATATAAAAATGGATTATGCGACTAGCGTAAACTACAACAAATATAATACTGAACTCGTTTAACAGCTTGTAGCAGAATCTGAATTAATCATATTATGTATAAATCAATTTCTACTTGAAACGCCAGACTATTTGATTAAGTTATATACTTTAAATTTTAAGTTAATCTGTCAAATCCTCTTGATGCATTCCATGTAGAAATTTACAAGTATAAATAGTTTCTTAACTACAAAATTTAGTAAAATTAAAATAAATAAAAACAATTTATATTTAGGTACTATAATAAATATTTAGTAATAATTACTTTTTCTTAACTTATTATTATATCTTTATTAACTGTTGAGCTATTTTTATTCTACTTGAGGCTATCAAAAAAGTAAATCCGTTAAAAACCAACAGCGATAATTTTTTCCCGCTGTATTTTTTTTAAAATTTAAATTACATTTTCTACGATTACTTTTTATTGAGATTCATATCTAGACATTTTATTTTTATTTAGTACCTAAAAAGCTAAATGGTTAAAATAACTGTTTTTGATAGAAACAAGAATTTTGAGAAAAATAATATAAAATTAATTGAAAGTTAATTTGTTTATGCTTTACTGTTTTTTTCAGCTTCTACTAAAAATTTCCGGCTATCACGATCACAAGCTTCTTCAATTTTCATAATTTTATTTATTTCTTTAAAATCCTTTTTTACACGGGTCCAAGCATTGCTAACGCGGTCTTCCTGTCAAGTACTATATTCGTTTAAATTATTGACACGTCAGGTTGCATAAAATTGTCTTTCGCTCGCCAAAAGTGACTCCCCATTCCAGTCTTCTTAATCTCAAATATGTTTGTATGATCGGTCAGTTGAATTCTTCATTCTCTCTAAGTATAAATTTTTCTCCGCCTCTATTATGCTCACATTCGTCTACATGGTTATAGACCATAGATAGGCTATGTAAATTCTTTTCTTAAAATCTCTTGACGTATTTCTAATAACAAAGTATTCAAGATTTGCCACGCTCGTCCTCAGTTTAATTTAATTTTACATACTGTGCAATTATGTATACTGTAGATACATATCATTGTAATAATTGTTTTCTAATTTTATATAAATAATAAACAAAGTGACATGCTAAATAAAATTAAAAAATACAACAATAACATAAACTTAAGAAATAAAATAATTAAAAAAAAAACTTGGATCTTGTGAGTACTAAGTTGTACCCACAGAAGCGTACACCATTCTCTTAAAGTAAACTAAATATATAACAACAGGTTATAATCATAAAAATTATAACAAAACTGTTGTGCGATTGTATTAATTATTGTTTTTCGTTTGGATTCGTGTATTGAGTGTTACGAAATCACCGGCTCGAGTGCGTTTTGTTGATGACATCTGCTGTATAAAAAAAACATGTCTTTGAGGACAAACGGTAAAACTAGTATTTCACCTTATTATTATTATTATTTTTTTTTTTTGTAATTTACATTATATTACATACGTATATTATTATGTCTCTTCGTGCGGTTATCTGTCCTAAACTAGACCGATTGTAGCGTACGTACTGCAAAGTCTGATGGCGCGAGGTCATTATATCCTCTCCTTCCGATCGGTTTGCATTGAAGTGCACAGTACATTGTACGACGGCTAAATATGCGTTGAAATCCGTCGTCGGGTAAGAGTAGTGTGAGACCCTATTCGCAAGTTCATCGGTCCGAGTGTCCTATTTGCGAGGCTATTTCGCAACGATTCATACCGCCGCCACAGCCGGCTCCGTGAAGGAAATGCAGTAGTGGTGATATTACATACCAAGACCATCAAGGAGATTACGGTCGTTTGCAGGAAAATGCTAAGAGAAATAAACGTGTACGAGTCGGGGAGGGGGGGGGGTCGCTAACACTATAGCGTTGAAGTTGCACAATCGGGCCACCGCCGGGCATCCTCCAGAACTTATAAAACAGGCATGGACCGGCAGTACGATTACACTGATACGGTTGGCTCCGTAGCGATCAGGATAGCAACGGTGTAATCATTTATAAGCATTGGTGGCTGTCGACTTCGGATTCAAAACAATACACATGACCATCGGGGTGATCGATTTCATAGTGAAACGTATTAGAAAACGTGAGTATACTATCAAATAATATGTGTGATACTTTTATATATATATATATATATAGATAAACTATATTTAATAACACGTAAATAAATACTAGCAATTGTCGATGCATCATTAGTAAATGTATGCATCAAATAGTGAGAACATTTTGACATTTAATGTACAACAAACTATTTCTATAATACAAGTTTTAATAGTGTGATTTTACTCAAAACATTATTTGTCTGCATATTTATAAACCTAACAAGTAGTTATTATTATAACATTATTAAATATACCATATTTCAATTGTGTAGAAACTAATTAAATTCGTATATCTATTGTTATATAATTATAACATTATTTTATTATTATTGTATCAACTTGATTAATTGGTATTATGCGATACACCGATACGTGTTGTTTGTGTTGAACGTATTATTCGAAATTTCAATTGTAAATTGAATTGAAAATTGTTCCAAAGCAATCACTCTAATCTTTGAAAGTACATGTGTACTGTGATTTCTTATAACTAAAATACATTTTCTTTGAAGTCGATTTGCTTGTGGGCTATGGCGAAAGATATCAATATCAACTTAATTACAAACTATCTTGCTTAGTTTAGTATATTTAGAAATATGTGTTATAATTTATTTTGCTAAAAGTCATTTATACAATAATAAATATTTTATTAACTTGGATGGGGTTATTAGATCTAAGTGATTAGTACGTTATACGTTACCCAGACTTCTTAAAATTATACTATATATAAATCAATATTATTTCCGGTCACATAGAAAATTAATTTGTAATAATATAATAATATTTCTAAAAACTGATAATCTCGTTAACCTTTTTTTAAATTAATAAACCGTAATAAAATCAAATAAGGACAAGAAACCATCTCTTGATGGCAGCATTGGACTTTGAAGCATATTAAGCTAGACGATGACGATGATGATAGATGGTAATTACACAAGGATATAAGTAAAAACAAATTTTAGGTATATAAAAAAATATTTATGCGGTGATTTTTTTGAAATTAGACTGTTTTTCATTTTTATTCTTCTTAAATAATAACGTTTCGTCGATTACTAATAAAAAATGTATTGTTTATTGTGGTTTTAGTAAACAATGGCAGACCAAACGTCCCTATTCATAGTCAGTCTAGTACTAATCGCCCTACAAACTCAACATACGGCAGCAAAAAAGCTTCGTAAGTCACAATAACTTGTACACTTTTTAAATATTTTATGAAATAAAAAACGCATACAGTTATTTAAATGCATGTATTATTTTAGCCAACTTCGTGCACGTGTGTAAAAGAACCGACCCCGAACTGGAGAGTTGTTTAATGAAAACCATTGAGTCTATAAGACCGGAGTTGCCCAATGGTACGGTGAATTCATTTTTGTTTAAATCTGAACAGTTAATATGATCTCGATAGGAGAACGAATATCAAAGGCTTTATAACTTGCACTAAAATATTTTTCGCTTTTTTTTTTTTTTTACAGGAATACCAAAAATGCAAATTCCGGCTTTGGAGCCCATGGTTATTCCTATGTTACAAGTGAATAGAAACGTGGAATCGCTCAAAGTCAAAGCGACAATCAAAGACATTCAAGCTTGGGGTGGATCTAAATTTGTTCTCAGCAATCTCAAGTAAGTACACTGCCAGAGTCGTATTTGTACATTTTGTTCTCCGGAACAACACTTACAACAAGTGTAAATTGTAGTGCAATTTTATATCCATACGAGTTCTTTTGTAAACTGAATTATAAAGAAACGTACATGAACGTTTCTCGTATTACCAAATTGATAAAATTACAGCGTTCCTCATTTGTAACACAGGTTACCAATAATAATATTACACCTAACGTAATAATATTTAATAACCGGTGATACGGGGGTTCGTGTGAGTGTATAGGTTCAGTGAAAGTGTGCGTGTTGCGTGTACATATTATTAAGTTACGTTGGCCTCACCGGTGACAATAAATCGGCGGAAAACCACTATTTATTTTATTATTTTTACCATGTATAAATATATATTTTTTCGGAATTCCAACCATGCATTTCCTTTGTCAGTTATTGCACAACCCGGCGTTGCACTGGTGTGAAAACTGGACCAACCCGCTACACATAATGATATTCATCAGTAATGACTAATATTATGTCACTGCGTGCAATGGTTTTTAATAATAATTAAAAAAAATTAAAGACTCCATTAGTACTTTTATTTGACCGAACGGATAGTTGTGTTAGTATTTTTATTGATAATTATTATATTCTTGTTTTAGAGTAAATCTAGAAAAGCTGGTCGGCGAAGGCACGGTACTTCTCCCTAGTCTGTTGGTAAACTGCAGTTACGACATCGACGGACGTCTGATGGTCATTCCGCTCAAAGGTCAAGGAATATTTAAAGGCAATATCAGTAAGTCGTTTTACGTTCAGCACGATTGTCACAAATAGCCAAGCACGGACCCATTTGAATAATAATTTATTAATTATAACGCCAAATCAAATTTGTCCAATGTGTTCGACTCGAATTTCTGCGCAACCAAAAATTGAATTTACAAAATAATCACGATAATAAACATGTTACAATGACAATAAGGAACTTTGTCATAAATAATATACGAGTATATAATTGCACTGTTCTAACGTAAAATCGCAAAAACAAAAAAGTCCCATGTATACAATGTTTTTGATAACTGTTTAAAACTAAATTTAAAACATAATTAATTTGCCACACTTGAACGCGGTACCATTAACATAAAAGTATTATGGTCGTTAAAAAAACACCGATGATATAAAAAATTAATTTTCAGGAATAGAAAGCTTCTAGAAAGCTATCTAGAAGTTAGACTATAAATTATTAAAATAATATATTAAATTGAATCTGCCCTTTTGGTCACTGTTAAATTGTACATTCTTTTGATTATTATCAGCCCGAATTCAGAAAACTAAAAATCACTATTATTTATTAAAAACACCAAACTCATTTTTAATGTACTTAAATATTTATTTGCAGCCAACACTAAAGCCGATATAAAAGCATCGGTTGAAATTTTAAAGGATAAAAAGAACCGTGAATATTTCCAGTTGAAAGATATTCGACTTAAGGTCAAAGTCGGAGACGCAACTGGCAAAGCGACCAACCTATACAATCCAAACAACGACGTCATAAGTAAGAATTGCATTTTAGTCAGTCTTACTCAAATGTGATGTTGCCCTACATTATATAATTTGAAAAATGTTGTGCTAAGTAATATACCCTATTAGGGAAAATATTCGCCACACCACGTTCACTGTCAGTATTTTAATAAAAATATATGTAACATAAATCAATGAATTATAAAATCAAAACAAAATCGAAATTATTATTTGCTTATAATTTATAAACAATTGTATCTATAGTGGTAAGTGATTTTTAATGATACCTACTTAACGCTTTTACTATCGATAGATAAGTTATAATAATTCTCAAATATCTGTAATCTGATCTTTCCATTACACTCTATACGGACTTATGTTAATTATTCTTGTATGCCTATGTTCTAGCGGAAACAGCAATGTCGTTTTACAATCAAAACCGCCGAATGGTATTGAATATTATTACGCCAATCATAGAAGAGATTTCTGTTGAATTTGCCATGCAGATTGGAAATAATGTACTAAAAACTGTTCTATATGATGAAATTCTACCTATAGAGCTGTCTTGAACTTGAAAATTGTTTATTTATTAATTGTACCTAGTTACCTTGTGTACTTTATATGTTAATACGTGTAAATTGTAAGTTTTAACTTCCTAATATCTATTTTAGTATTAAGTTTATATTTAAACACGTTTTACATTCATTTGTCACGTATATGTATATCATTTTTTTTTTTTTTTGTCAAAGTGCAATTTTGTTCATTAATATTATTCTATCTCATTTTTTTATCACAATTCACGAATTCTCACTATGTTAATTACTATACAATCATATTATATGTTTTACTTATACTTATTGTAAGTATATTTGTTTCAAATAAATATTTAAAAAACAGACTTCGTATTATATTATATTGTATGAGAACAACAATAATTGTTCAGGGTCGACGCCCTTGGCTCACTGTTACTTGTATGTCCTATTTCCCTATCCTACCTACAGAGTGTAATAAGGTTTTTAAATTTTAACTCGGTTTGATCGTTTTTCGCAATGTTATAATATTTTTAAAGTAAAAAACTAAATACATTAAGACAATTTTCGATTTAAAATATGTAATTTACACTATTCTTTACTGAGATCTTGGAAAAAAATAGAATTTGTAGTCTAACTTTAAACTACTAACGTTATTGTTGTATTCTTGTAAAAAAAAACCCTTACAATTAAATAATTATTATAAAAATTAAAAATACCTACTATAGTCTATAATGTGAAGCTTTTATTCTTTATATAGCTTTTTTAGAATTGACTTTAACGTTATTTTTCACTTTTAGTAGGTACTTATTACTTTTTAGTTATTTTTGCGGTTTTTTTGCAACCTAAAAAAACATTGTTTAGGATAAATTCAATTGAGTAACCGACATTCCATATTATGTGTAGTGTTGTGTATACTAATAAATTAATAAAGTTAGCCTCTTAAAAATATCCTGGTTACTAAATGAATATTTTTCATTCTAATATCTAGATCTTGTATTCAGAAATTGCGTCTAAAATGTGTAATAAAACGAAAAATAAACCCTCCCACGAAAAGAACCATAAGAACTTAAATAATTATTGCATTTTTCAATGGTTATATTGCGAAATACCTATACTGTATTATATTGTGATCGTGTAACATATTTAATTTCCAAGTTGTTATGTGTGAATGAATCAATCGGCAATAGGTATATCAGAAAAGTATTTCATTATATTGTTAATTATGATTTACGGGTAACAACGGTAAAGTTATTATATTTATAGACAAGTGATCAATCCTAATCGTATCCATTCTAATACAAAAAGTACAATTTTAATCACACTATTGTGTCTACAAAAAATAGTTTTAATCTTATCGAATCGTTAAATTGGAATTTAGTTTAAATAATTTTTACAGTCCAATGGTTATGCTTCGACTTCATTATGTCCCAGCCCCACTGTGCTAGCTATTTTTTTTTAATTCTTACTTTAAACTCAATAATAGTCGGTAGTCCTGTAATTAAGTGTATTTATTGAACCATTAATATTCAAATAATTTACAGTTTTGAATAAATGAAAAACGGCGGGCTAATCCGTTTTTTTAATCAGCTGTTCGTTCACTTTTCCCGCGGCCGGCCGCCGATTTCCCGCCATTTTTTGTTTACAAACAAAGGACGTGCCGCCGTAATATCGTAATACCATTCAACTGGTGTGAGGTGTCTGGTTTACACTTTACACTTACAGAAGAAAAGTGAATATAGAATCCAGTTTACCGTTCTAACGGCTATCACTTCTGTTTTGTTATGAAAAGTTTTGTACTCGGTTCGGATTTTCCTATTTAACTCTATTGTATTTTGTATTATAGCACGATAGATAATACATGTTATAGTTTTATTATTATTATAAGTATTGCAAATTCATACCGCTCCGCTGTCCACAATTTTCGTTTCGCTGACTGTGTTGATCAACAACTGTAAAACAGAACTGACCAATAATGGCCAAGACGGGTTACAGGGACTACGATAGCGACAAAGGTTAATTTCAATATGTATTATATAACTAGTTGTTCTATATTTTTTATTTGTCTTCGATTGATATTTATGTTTTTCGTGTACGCATTTTGTTCATAGCTAAATTTATAGACTTCTTGCAAAACTATCAAGCGTTGGATAAAGATAATCAAAAACATGCCAAGTACGCCGTTCAGATGGCCAAGCTCGCTCATCGCGAACAGGTATGATTTTGTCAACACGATTAGTTTACAGAAATATATAAAAGTAATTCAACTTGATAATATAAAAATCGCCTTGTATTTTAGGTGCCTTTGTTTATCGAATTGGACGACTTGGACCATTTTGATTCTTCTTTAAGCGAAGCTGTGTCTGCAAATACCCGGAGATATTCAACAATGATTGGTGACATTGTTCAAGAATTATTGCCTTCTTATAAAGATCACGAAGTATTTAAAATAAAATTAAATAATTATATCTTTATATTAACACAGTAATTTTCTACCAAATTTTTAGCCTGAAAACAAAGATGCCTTGGACGTATATATTGAACACAGAATCCTCGCTCAACAAAGACAAAGAATGAGACAACCTGATGACAATGCTGCTCCTACTAGCAGATATCCACCAGAATTAATGCGAAGATTGTAATTTTATCATCAGTTACCTTTTTACACAATTTTTCAGAACAAATCTACTTTACCGGACACCTTGTTTTTTCTATCAATAGTATTTTGCATGCTAATTATGAATATGTAAAAATTTTGCGCCGCTCGCACTTAATTTGGAAGTTACAGATTTTAAAAGATCGACATACGCGCGCCTGGCTCGGCACCGCACGTCTACCCGCGCCTGCTGGGTACTTCATTCGTTGGTCACAGCTATGGCGCGTACGGCAGGTCACTGTGTGTTTTGCCACTCTCTCGCTCAGTACCGTCGCTTCGCTCCGCTAAACTAAAAACATCTTAGGTTTGCAGGCTACAGTCTAAGAGGAGATCTCAGGTTTAAAGTTAATTCGGTTTAAAAACGGCTCTAGAAGTCATGTCACGTGTCCGGCAAAAAAAAAAAGGACCACGATGGGCAGAAGGCAGGTAGACGAGGAAACAGATCATAATCGAGCGGCGATCGACGGACGAAGTACCCAGTGGACGCGTTTATGTCGGTATCGGCAAAATTTAAAAGTCCGTACCTTCCAAACTAAATGCGAGCGGCGCAAAAATTTTATATATTCGTAATCAGCGTGCAAAATACTATTGATAAAGAAAAAAAGGTGTCTGGTAAAGTAGATTTACTTATTTTAACCTTTGTATGATTTTAGCGAGATATATTTTAAAGATCTGAGCACAAAAAAAGAACAGCCAATCCGTGATGTTAAGGCTAGTAGCATCGGTAAACTAATTTCTGTTCGTGGAATTGTAATGCGAAGCACGGAAGTAAAACCGATGATAACTGTTGCCACTTATTCATGTGATTTATGTGGAGGGGAAACTTACCAACCCGTAAGTAACTTTATTAAATATTCTAGAATTATTAAGATATAATAAAAAAGAATACTAGCGAAATCATTGACATAACTACAGTCTCTTATATTAATTATTCAAATATTTATTAGTTCCTTAAAAATAATTTCACTTTGAATAAACCAAAAATGTTGTATTACTTCATTAGTGGTTTATTTTAAACTATATCCAACTTTTAAAATGTTATTGAAAGAATTAAAGTCAATAATTATGATTTTTTTTTTCAGATAAATTCATTAACATTTAAGCCTTTAGAGTTTTGTCCTAGTTCGGAATGTTCTACGACTAAACCAGGTAGTCGTTTATATTTGCAAACTAGAGGATCCAAATTTATAAAATTTCAAGAACTTAAAATACAAGAATTGGTAATCTATATTTTATTTCATCTGTCACTACTATGAATGAATACACTATTCTAAAAGAGAATACCCACTTTGCACATCACGACTGACGGTTGTGAAGGAGCCGGACCTTCCCTACCTGGGCATTCTCTTTTGGAACAGAGTATAGTATACTGTTATTTTATATTTGATTCCCTTTTTGTTTTTAGAGTGATCAAGTACCAGTTGGTCATATCCCTCGTTCCTTAACAGTTATTTGCCGAGGAGAAGCAACACGAAAAGCTGTACCAGGAGACCATGTTTTAATAACAGGAATATTTTTGCCCTTAGTGCGTACCGGTTTTAGACAAATACAACAAGGTCTATTATCTGATACTTATCTCGAAGCTCATGTAAGTAATTAACCAAAAATTTGTAAATTATGTTAGTTTGTATACATTTTATTTTTTACTATCAAATTTCAGAATGTGGAATGCTTAAACAAATTAAACGATGAAAAACTAGGGGAAGGTGAGTTGACCGAGGAAGAAGTGTTAGAATTGGCTGGTGAAGATTTTTACTCAAAGTTAGCTGCCAGTTTAGCGCCCGAAATTTACGGACATGAAGATGTTAAAAAAGCTTTATTGCTGCTTTTAGTCGGAGGAGTAGATAGAGCACCTGAAGGAATGAAAATTAGAGGTAACGAAATATTTTTATATTTGGCTACTTGAGATATTAAATTTTTTAATTTTGTAGGAAGTATAAATATTTGCTTGATGGGTGATCCTGGAGTCGCCAAGTCACAATTACTCTCATATATTGAACGTCTTGCACGTCGTAGTCAATATACAACAGGTCGTGGTTCCTCAGGCGTTGGTCTTACGGCGGCAGTTATGAAGGATCCTCTGACTAACGAAATGGTATTGGAAGGCGGAGCTCTTGTGTTAGCTGACCAGGGCGTGTGTTGTATCGATGAATTTGATAAAATGGCTGAAACTGACAGAACAGCCATTCACGAAGTGATGGAACAGCAAACTATTTCAATTGCTAAAGTATATACTCTTTTCAGGGGTGTATTCGTAACGTGTAAGGGTATACACTCTGTGTACCCTTAGGGCCTTTTCACACCGGATGTGTATGGTATATGGGTTTTTTTTTTTTGATGCGTATAAATTTGGGATAGACGATATTACATTTAGATGGTAACAAACCCATAATTCAAAAGCCACTTCCAGGTGTGAAATGGGCCTAACAATTACACTATTGACTCCTTTTTTTTTTTAACTTAATTCTTTAAAATAATTGTTTATTTGTTTTAGGCCGGAATTATGACACGTTTAAATGCACGTGTAAGTATTTTAGCCGCAGCTAACCCCGCTTATGGAAGGTATGATCCTAAACGTTCTATTGAAGCCAACATTCAACTACCGGCTGCTCTGCTTTCTCGTTTTGACCTACTGTGGTTAATTCAAGATAAACCGAACCGAGAAAATGATCTAAAGTAAAGAATTTATGATTATTAATACTATATTTAACAGAGTTTAGAAATAATGTGTTCTTTTTCATTGAACGAGCTCTTAAAAGCAGTCATACACCAATTCTAAGAACTTTTTTGTGAACACATTCAATTTTTTATCAAACTTACGATTTTTGCTTAGTTTATTAAGAGGACGTCACTCCCTATTTATTAAACTGTTAGGTATAAGCAATTTTTTTGCAAAATCTTAATTGAAAGGTTAAACTGTAATGTGTTATTCTTAGTTCAGTAATTGGGACTCATTTAGGTAATTAATTTATTTTTCAGACTCTCTGCATCCTTGACAGTGATTTAAAAATGTTAACATCTGATGCATATTCTCTATTATTGGCTAAATAATAATTGAGCAAAACATTTTATCTACATAATTATAATAATGAGACTTTGGCTTTTTTTCATATTAACACAACATTCACAATTTATATTTTAATTCTGACATTTTTTACTTTTAAAGTGCTTGTATTTAAGATATAACTACAAGCTTTACGATTATTTTTAAAGGGTATTCCATCCTCTTACTGTTCATTTTCATACCAAAAACAAATTTTTTATTGATATTTTAAAAATATTTTTACCAATTGAAGTAATGTTTTCAATCAATTAATTCAATTAATGGTGTCAACTTTTTGTAACATAAACCATATTGGCAAAAAATATATATGTTTAAAATAAAATAAGACTATTCCTTTATACATTAAATAAAATATAAGCGCTTGATATAATATTGAGATTTTTTTATTTTTAAAAATAATAATTTCATGTATGACCATGAATATAATATTTATATTAACGTCAATTTTAAAATTCTAACTAAATTCATTGTTTTAAAAAAATAATATTAATGCAAATATGTTAGTTTATTTTGGTATTGAACGCTGATTTAAAAGTTTCTGAAAACTTGTTTTTTAAAATAAAAATTAATGAATATACTTCATTTAAAATAGGTTAGCTCACCATATCACATATGTGCACAAGCACAGTCGTCAGCCGCCAACTGAAATTCAGGCCTTGGACATGAGTCTGATGCGTCGTTATATTGATTTATGTAAAAAGAAGTCTCCTACTGTGCCTGTTGAATTAACAGAATTCTTGGTCGATTCTTATGTCGATTTGCGTAAAGATTCGCGTAACAATGGTGACACAACATTTACATCTGCGAGAAACCTTTTAGCTATTCTCAGGATATCAACAGCATTAGCAAAACTTAGATTATCAGATTTGGTGGAGAAAGAAGATGTAGTGGAAGCCATGAGGTTATTGGAAATGTCCAAGATATCCCTGATGCAAGTTGATGAAAGAACTGGAAGGTAAGATATGTTTTTAAAAATAATAAGATTTGTTTTTTATATGATTGTTTAGTTTTTTTTCCTCTTGTTTAATACTTATCATATTTTAATTTCAGAGCCCAAACTGTCGTTGACCGTGTATTTAACGTAATCAGAGAATTGGCTGGTGGTCGTACTGTTGTTAAGATGTCCGATATAAGAGATTATTGTACAAGCAAAGGATTCAACGCTTCACAAGTCGACGACTGTATTGAAGAATATGAAATGCTCAATGTTTGGCAAGTAAATCAAGCAAAAACCACAATTACTTTTATTTAATTTGTATACATTTTTTTCAATTTTCCTAAGACATTTTTTTTTACGTAATATTCATGTTCTTCTATTTATAACTTTGAGTTAAATGTGACGAGGTATTTTGTCCTTGTTTTTTTTTTTATTATATGATTTTTTTACATTTGGTATACAATTTGTATGTAAAACATTATTATGAATTGAACATAATTAAAAAAGAAAAAAAATATCTTAAATTAGAATCTTATATTTATATTATTTTTTACAACTAAACAAATGACTAAAATAAAATACACTCTTAAAAATTAATACATGAGACATTCTGAACAAAGAAGAAAAGTTTGGAAAAAATATAGTGTTTTTTAAATTAAATACTACGATTCATAACCTGAAAAAAAAAACACCAATTAATTTATTGTCAAATTATTATATACATTGTATATTTGTATGTATCTGTTCATTGTTTTATGTGTTACAACCTACTACCGGCTACCTATCAAAATGCTCCTATTAGTAAATTAATACGTTGAATGCCACAAATATAACTTTAAACTTCATAAATAATGACTAATTAAATATGCTAGATATCGATTAGTAACTAGCATATTTTTTAGTCATAAGTTGCATTGAATCTCATAACTCATATTATAATATAATCCAACATAGGTAATATACAAATACATGAATTACCTGTTCTTTTAACTTTTCCATTTCTGTGCTCTTTTTCATTTCTTCATAAGCGTTTTGTTCAAATTTATACCGAAAATCTCCCATTAACGATGGCCATGGATCTTCACCCCCTGCGTAATTCAATTTCACAAGTAAAATGTTTAATAACGCACCACCGTCCTCAAGACTCCAAATTAGTTCAGAACCTTTGATTTTTTTAAACAATTTGCCCTGAAAAATAAATTACATATTTTGTGAGAAAAACCGGCTATTTTTAATTAAAATTTCTTAGTGGTTTTATAAAAAAACAGTTAATACTCTATTTGTGGTATTTGCTTACCGAAAATATGGTTTTACCGGCTACAATGCAAGTAATGTCTGTGTTGGTCGCGTCAACTTTCACTTCCTTCGACTTTGTTCCTTTAGGAACATTGACTTCTACGTGTACCTCTTCCAGAGTCTGCCACCATTTCCCCCATTCCGTTTCACAGGGTACTATCAAGTTTGAATCTCCGAAAATATCCATTCTCAAATTTTGCAAGTAGGTAACGGATATTGTATTAGACTCGTCGCTTATTGATAATTTGATTTATAAATAATAATGTTTTAGCGGTAAGTACGCAGCGATGTGCTATATGTAGAAATTATCTACAAGTTGCCCGGGAAGACTTTCCGTCTTACGAATTCCGATATTGTTGTTTACACACTGAATACTGATAGTCGTGGAAAATTAAATAGGTATGTCAGCACTTTGTGTTATCAATTTTTACAATATGGCCGTTGGTCTTTCCCGTAGGAAATAGAGATCTAAATAAGCATATATAGAGCCTTAGTAGGAAATACCACAGATATATATTACGATATGTTATAGATTATATTGTAATGTATATCTGTATTCTGTGGTCATACCTGTGTTTATATTGCAGGGCTGATAGCGATAATGGTTATTGTTTACTGTTTAGTGTATAGGCGTTCAACATTTATATATTATTTTAAGGACGGCACACCGTCCGTGTTTTGGCCGCAAAACTCGTTGTGGGGGCGCAAGGGTTTTTGAATTCGTACTTTTGTAGTAGAATTACAAAATATTTACAGTACAGTGTACACAGAGAATAACTTTACCTGTGTCGTAGCGTTTTAATTTTTTTGATATCTCAAAGTTTAAACACAATCCAAGTTTTTTATTCGTAAATGTAGGTTTTTTCATTTGTTTATTAAAAGCTAGTGAGTAATAATATAAAAACTCTACGGCACAATTAAAGTTTCTTTTTATGTATTATTGTGAAAATTTGGTAATTTTACTTTGAACATTGGCCTCAAGTTTTTCCCTCGCAAAGCAGCTGTTATGATAGGAAAACTTGAAATTTATCCTATAGAAATGACTGTGATAGTCTAAAAAAAATTACAACCCATGTAGAATCCTCATTGTTGTATAATTAATTAAACACTATAGTTCAAGCTCCAAATTAAAATTTTCCGAAAAATTGCATATACTTTACTCCTTAAAGGGGATTAGCGATCTGTATTTTAGGAGTTTTGTATGGGCAATACTTAAGAAAAAATGGTTTTAATAAATTTAATAAGTAAAAGACAGTACATTCAATTCCAAATATAATTCAGTAGAGATTCGAGTTTTTCTGTTTTTGGCTACTTTACTATGTTATGTAGAAAGCTGATTTTTAGTTAAAAATTTTAGTTTCTTGTAATTAAATTTGCAATTTTTTCAATATTAATACCCAATTTTTTTACGTAAATATAGCAAAAATTTAAAAATATGTTTGCTACATAACCTAGTAAAGTTGCCAAAGAACTCGTATATCTTTACAAAATTGTCATCGGACCATCCTAAGTAGTCGAATTTTTTTCCGGCATTTTAGTTTAAAACGTAAATAAAACAGACCGCATGCAAATAGGAGGTATCACGCCATGCCCCTATGTCCCCCATTTATTAAGGAGTTATGTATAGGCATTTTTTTGCAAAATCTTAATTGAAAGATTAAACTGTGATGTGTTTAATAATTAGGCCTCTGTTAGGTAGTTTATTTATTTTTTGAACTTGCTGCATCCTTGACAGTGATTTAAAAATGTTTTCATCTGAACATAGCTATGCATATTCTCTATTATTGGCTAAATAATAATTTTAGAAACAATTTGTTTACATATTTAAATAATGAGAACTTCATTTAGGTGCTCTCGTCGGTTTTTTTCATATTATTAACAAAACATTCACAATTTTAATTGATATTTTTTTTATTTTTAAATTCTTGTATTTAAGGTAAAATTTATGTTTTCTAAAAAAAATCGATAAAAGAACCTAGTTAAAGTTTTCCTCTTCTTAACGGTATCAACATTTTTTTTTCATTTACCTGTTTACACGCTTTATTACGTTTATTTTTAAAGGGTATAACGCGACGTTCTCTTAAACACTCATATTATCAATTATAATAATTATTATTATAAAATCAATTATAATTATTTTCATAAAAGTTTTATGTATACCGATAAAAAGTTATAATTATTACAGGCAGAAAAATATGTACTAACTAATTCTATGATTTTCGACGTATAAAATAAACAGACACTATATTTTTTAATTAAAGATGAATCATTCTTATTTTTATTCTTTTACACATTTATATTGAAAATTGAACAAGTAATTTACAGTAAGTACTAAGTACACATTTTATAATTTACAAAATCAAGTATGTTTTAAATAGAAACATCAGTTTTTCTATACCTACATTCATAATTATTTTTGTTGTATTATGTAATAATTGAATTTTTTAACACATCTGGATATGATTATGTGACATATTATATTATTTTTAGTTATTACTTATTAATAAATATAACCAATATGGGAAATCATAAACTTATACATTTAACATAAATATTATGTTAGTCTGAAAGTTAATGTGAGTATACAATTATATATTAAGTCAATTATATATCACATAAATAATTCTATAAAGGAATAAATAACATTATCATATTTTTGATGAAAACTAAAAAAGTGATATATAAGCTAATTTTTTACCGTCATTTTAAATTTACAAAATCATTTGATTTAAAACAAAGTATCTAGTTTATAAAAGTCATCTTTAAAGAGTAAACAAGCAAAATAAATACAATAAAATATAAATATACAATTCAAATTATTTTATTAGGTATACACAGGTTGAAAACATTTAATATTATTTCATTAACTATCATAATATGTGTTACTTATAATTTATAAACATCTATTTTAATGTTATAATCATAAACGTAGTTTTCACCGAGTGCATTATGGAATACCTTTTCTTTTTATTTGGTGGACATTCTAAATTTTTAATCTCAAAAGATCGTAAGCCAATTTCACCCCAAGTTTGTACTCCAAATAATGGAATGTTTGGCCAAACCATTGATAAATATTTATGATCTTCTAGCTGCTGTCTATCGATACACTGGAACGACATTATGAAACTACGCCGGGAATCTAACATTACACCATCTTCTTCTTTCCAGGTTTGATTAACATGTTTTTCAGTCTCTTTTAATCCCAATAATATTCCGTGTTCTGTTGTTGATGAGATAACATCACTGACACAACAAATCCCTTCTCCGCGAAATATTACGACTTGCAGGACGCCTGGAATTAAGCTGTTTTTTTTCTTTGGAGGACTATTGTAATCCAAGCTTGTAACATGGCCGCCCGATACAGCAAAAGGTAGAGAATTATTATTCTCTGTAACTAATTTAACTATAGATTTAATAATTGTATCAACTTGAGTGGATGATCCAACTTTCAAGAACAAAAGTCCACGAATCGGAGGACCTTGGTGGGCGAAGAATGTATGATCTTCTTGAGAAAGAACAGAAGGTGAGGATGATGAACTAGATGTTATAACACGAGTAAATACACTTACTTCATAGTTATTACTCGTCGGTAAGTATAAGAGCACAAGTTTTTTATCATGAGATGAATAAGAAGTTAACAATTGTTTTGAATTTTTAACTTTGGTTCTTTCATTAATTTTTTTGTTTTCAGTATAAATTATACCTTTAGCTCCAATGGGAATAAATGTCGTAACTGAATTTGGCACAATATCTCCTCGAGGAAAAAAACTACCTGTGTCTCTACATCGATCATCTCCATTACTTCTGCTAGTACTCTCCCTCAACCGTGTACATATTTTTGGACGACATCTTGATGGTCCTCCGCTACCCGGCATACATTCAAATGTAAACAATGTTCTAGGCTCTATCCTTAAGTCAATGCAATGATTATTATTATTTAATGCATTATTAGGTGGTCTGTCATTGTGTAAATTCTCTGTTGAATAGTTTTCGGTAGTTCCTTGTTTATATTCTAGCGTTGCATACTGAATATACATACGATTACGTAATAGTATTATATCTACTGCGCTTTTAAACTTACTGTTAACGCGTCTCATAGTACACAAGTCGTAGTAATCCAAGTGACATAATACAAGCTTGAGCACAGAATACTGTTCGCTGAAGTACCGACCAAAGTCTCCAGAATACCGAGTTGGTGAATGTTTAACATCAATGGAAACGTCTTTACTGCAAGAAGGTAAGCCACTTTCGGTTGTGCGAGACTGGTTTTTATTGTGATGTGATGTTAAATCGTCCATATTTAATTTTTTAAACATACATGTTTCCAAACAAGTTCTTAAGTCTTAACAAATAACATAGTGGTTTTCTTTTTTTTCTACCTCGTTATAAGTATTATTACCGTCCATTTCGAGTACAGCACACATGGTGGATTTCAGTATGTGAGAATACAGTCAATTATTACAATTTGCATTAAAATAAGACTACAGTAATATTTAAAGAAACAAAATTATTATGTAAACAAAACTTCGTTGCGTTATCATTTGATTTTTTATGAGTAAAAATTGTAATCACTTATCGAGTTTACCTCCTGCTTATCACTTCTCAGTTACCAGATTTTACTCCACCAAACTAGACATGCGTGATTCGTCCTATATAGACTTATGTATTTGCATTTTTAACGGGGCACGGGCAGAAGTTTCCCACCCCTGCCCCTGACTAGCTTATCAAATAGCAAACAAATAACTATTATAAAATTAAATTTTAGTGGAAATAGTTGAAAAAAACCGCATTTCTTTTAAATAGTATTTTCGCTTTAAAACCACTACCTGGTTGGGCCTATATAAGTTTTTAAATGTTGGGAAATTTATGACCAGGATCATATTAACTTGTCAACCAAAAATGGTTTTATTTCTTTTAAAAGCATACAAACCAATTTTTCTGCAAAACGGTATAGCTCTAATAGTACCAGAAGATCATTTTAAATTATTAATTATAATATTTCTAAATATATAGTTGTCTGTATTTTAAATTGAATTTTGCTTTTCCTGAAAATAATGCATTGGCTGATACGTCACTATAATACTCTGAGAGGAGTATTATTTATATATTTAAGGAGTATTATTATATGTATTATAAATCATTTTATAAACAATAAATTGTGTTATTTGGCTTTCTAAAGTTTTTTTTTTCACTACAGATTATTCATTTTGATTTTAAATATATTTTATTAAAATATTGAAAAATAATTTATTGAACATTTTGACCAATTTATTAGTTATTTTATAATATTCTGAAAAAATATTTAAAAAAAAAACCTCAATATTACAATTGTTAAAAAGAAATAACATGTATTATATTAAAATGTATCTCCCTGTATAAATAAAAAAAATTTTAATAAGTCAATGTTAATACATAACAGATAACAATATTACATTTTTTATAGTAAGTTGAAATTGTAAAAGTATTTTTAGTTTTTTATCAGAGTGTCTTTAGTAAAAAAAAAAGTTTTACAACAGATTTTTAAATAGTATGTATATGTTGTTGATTTACACTAAAACAGGTAAGGAAATATTGGTCTTAAAACTACACCTAAAAAAAAAGAAAAAATGCTGCAATTTTATGATGAAATATTTGTAAATTTTGAAGGAGAATTGTTAAACATTTTTAATTTTTGGTTTTTATAGTACCACCCAGGTATGATTTATGATAGACTTGCTACATACAAAAATCAGTCTAGCGACTTAAATTATTTTATGGGTCCACAAAAAAAAATGTATAAAAACATTATTGTAAAACCAAAATACCTTCACCGCTCAGTATTAAGTTAAACTACAAAAATTACAATAATAATCTAATGAATAATAGTCAAGTTATTTTTATTGTTGACTGTACAATTAGTATTATTAGTATTATTTTATAATACTAGACAAGCAGTTTTCAATCCAATTACAAATATTATTATACTATTTGTAATTTTCAAATTAGTTTTTCAAAAATTATACACCAATTACCTTGGTCATAGTAATAGTCTACTATTTTACAATTTGGAATTTGTTCACATAACAATCTCAACTCCGTTTCTTCAAAAACATGGTAGTATCTTAAATGTGTTTTAGGATCATTACCTTCCAGTTTTTTCTGATTCAATTTCCACGGTACTAACAAATCGTTGTGAATAAAATTAGACCTATTTGTATGCACAGGAAGATCTACTTTGATTTGGTTAATATGATAATTTTTATTTGATTGACCCTCATTCAGGGTTTCTGTATTTATTTTATTCGTCTTGCTCTGTTTCAAATAAGTAGACAGAGACGAATTCCTTTTCTGTTCTTTTGCCCACACGTATACAAGAGCTTGGCCTCCTACCGTCAGTACTCTGCAGATTTCTGTTAGGGCTTTTAAACGACGATCTGGTGTTGCCAAATGATGGAGTACAGCTATACTTATACAAAAGTCAATACAGTTTGAACGAACCGGTAACTGTAGGCAGTCACAGTTAAACACTTGATGATTACGAGTTCTGCAAATTTCAGCTAGCTGTCTACTTCTGTCGCATCCCAACTGTAATAAAATAGTTTTTTTTTCAAAAAAGAAATAATAGATACACTGCTATAAGGAAAGGTATTAAGTTTAGATACTGTAAGCCAAATTCTCAGATGTCTTAAAAATAATATGATTTTGATATTATTCATTTACTTTTTAGGTAATAAATTATTAAAATATTGTTTAAAAACTATTCCCACTCCAATTGGACAACAGTTTATTGATAAAATCTGATGTTAAATGTTCTTATATTAACACTTTAAGTTATCCCTACAAAGTAGTAACTTTAAAGTTAATTACGAGAGACACTGCAAATTTAACTTAAAAATAATTAATAATTATGGATTTGTGAGCTTATCATGCAATGGTAGAAGTAGATTATTGATAATATAAATATATTAAAAACTTACATAAAATTACCTGAAAAATATTAAAAGTGTCTGTAAAATATTTTGCATTTCCACAACCTACATCCAGAATTATTGAGCCTATTACCGCCTTACTCAAAAATTTAACTACGTTTGGCCAAGGTTTTTGTCTCGTTTCACTGAAATGCGATGCAATATTTTCATAAACCTAAAAACATTATATTAGTATATAAAATCATTTTAATTAAAAAGAGACTAAACAAACAATAATTGAAGTGAAATTCATATAAATATTAGATGGCAAACAATTAATGCTAACATTAATACAACTATTTTTTTATATTTATGTTGTCTCAGAAAATATTTTAACAACAGTTACCGATTTTATTTTCCATAGGTAATTTTATCAAGTATCTAAATCCCAAATTGTTTGTTGTCATCGTGACTAGACTTGATCGTTTTCTTAAATAAAGAAAACAATAACACCCTTATTAAGAAATAATTGTTTAAATACTAACATTATGAACGTGTTGCAGTTCTAACTCTGAAGCATTTTGTTCATTAATAGACATAACTTTATTAAATTATAGTAATACCTATAAAGTATATATTAAAACTAGAACCGATGCTATTTGGTAAAAGTCTAGGGATTGGGTCCGGACTTCGGTATGACGGTACCAAAATATTTAAAATTAAACAATTGTCAATAAACAAGACTGATAATGCAAATTATTGTAAATTATCACTTATTATCAGTCATGAGTCATACCAACGTGATTTGCAATTCGCTCAACATGATTCAGTTAAATTGTTATTGTTGGTAACATCAAAACGAAAATATCTTGTGGTTAGTAAGTTAAGTAATTCTCTTGGATAATATATATTATACTTTTTTATCAAAAAAGAAAAATTATTTTAATTTACCAGTGATTGAATTATGGTGTTACAGATAAGTGAAATTTTCCTCTTTTGTTTTAAATTAAAAATTAATTGATGTATGTAATTGGTTATAAATGCAAGTTTTAATCGTCGTCTGTCAGTAGACAAACGTTTCAGTAAAAACAATAAAGTTTCTCTCTCTAACTACGTTTCAAGGCATAAAGTTTATGATTCTTTTATTTTTTTTTAACGACCAATTATTATTATTTATTTTAAATGGATTAACAATACTCTAAATTAACATTTAAAAAGCCTGATAGAAAAAGTATTAGACAATCAACGTAGAATCCGACATCTAGACAAATGTTGGGAAATCGTAATTGCAGTCTTATATTTAAAAAAAAATAATGCTTTCCATAAAATTATATTAATATAATAATTTATAGCAAATAGACAATCAATAATAGTTCAAAAAACAATAACAATAACAAGTAAAGTAAAATAGTAAAAATTACATTTTTTTTTGTTATGAAGTAAATTATATTTTTTTAGATAGCTGTGGAGTAAAATCAATTCAAAATGCCGTTGATACAGTTAGATGTAAAAATGTTACCGATGAAAGTCCACTATTTCCTTTATATGGGCGGTAAGTGAGTTTATAGCTTAAAATGTTTTTGAAATAGAAATATTTAGTTTGTCGGTTTTTTTTCCTTCTGAAAATATTGTACATTTCATTTTTATGACCTATTGACCTAAATAGCTGTTTTGGGGAACAAATATTATGCAATGTGCAAGTGTATGCAATTTTATTATTTATTTTATAAAAGATAATGATCATTTATACATTTAAATGATATGATTATCAAACTATTTTGTTGTCATTTTAAAATAATTCTATGACAATTTTTAGTTAAAAAGTAATTAACTCTAACTAAAAGATACAGAATTATACTAGTTACAACTATGTTGTTTAAAAAACATTAATGTTTCATACTATTAAAGTAATTCACATTCAAGAGAAATATATTTGTAATAAGTCATAATATCAATTGTTTTTACCACTACATAACTATTTTCATTACTCATTAGTAATTGGCGATGTTCTAATACTATTAAAATACAATATCATAAATTTGTATTTCTACTATCAGTGTTTGTTTATTAACTTAAATTGATCTATAAAATAATTAGAGCCTTGGTTAGTCGAATTCATTAGTATTAACTGATATCAAACATTAAAAATATTAATAATTAAGATATAATTTAGTTGCTGTTTAATTATACTTTTTTTTTAAAAATCAAATTTACAAGAGAACTATTAAGCAATTTTCTATTTATCAACATATCATGACGACTGTTCAGCAATATTCATATTAATGCACATTATTTCACATTAATGTTATTATATATATATATATAAATAAAAAATGACTAATGGAAGGAACATAATATACAAGTTTTATTTACCATCATTTAAACAATATGAGTTTAATAGAAAACGTGTTTATTATATTATATACAACAGAATTAAAAAAAATCACTCGGCCGTCAAAGATCGAAAACTGCCATCTTTTGACCACACAAACTTCATAGTAATTTTAAACACTGCCATTTGATGACCAAATAGTTTCTGTGAAAACGATTATATTTATTAATCTTTTTTTAAATTCCATTATTATGTATTTAGTTGATGTTTATAAACCTTACAAGTAATCTAGATTGTTCAGGAGTAATTATGGCCCCTTCTTTGCATATTGTGTGATCTTTCAATACTTGTATGACTCCACGTTGTAAACTTGTTGGCAAACCAAGTTCTCTTAACGAAGGTTCCATAGAATGAATGAATGTGTCTGGGAGAGGCCCTTCATTTAATGTCACTGCGTATGCAGCTCGAGCACCGGCTCTAGGATACTCTGGTTCAGAGTAGTTATCAAACCATCTAATAAAATTTGTTAAAATGATAATCATAACTTCATAAAAATCAATTTTTTAAAATTATTTCACATACTCTATAACTTTATCAACAGGCTTGTTAGTAAACAACAGTCCACACTGTCCTTCAATTTTTTGAGCCAACTTATGCAAGTTACTATGAATTTCGTCCTGTGCTGTTTTTCCAAGAGCATATGCCATAACTTTGTTTTTACCAAAGAAAAATCTATAAACAAATTGTAATTGTACTAAATATGTGTACTCGTAATCATTTTTAACTATTTTTTACCTGCTGTCTTTCCATTCGTTTCGTACATCTTTTAATTTTCCGTTCCGCATATTATCAGTATAAAATACAAATATATTTTCATACGTTTCAACAGCATCACGGAGTTTTTCCATAATAGACTGCTTAAGTTTAGAACCCTGTTTGGTAGTTCTGGTCAGTGAAACTAAAAATTAACAAAAACAGAATTATGGATTTCAAAAATTACAATAGGAGTGCAATGAAGTGGGTTCATCAAATAAATTATGATATAAATTAGAAACGTTTTCAAATTTTAATTTGGGAAGTATAATGGAATTCATTTTTGAGTTTGGACATTTAAAATTTTTTGAAGTACGTTTTATACTCAATACAGGAAAAATGTATAAAGTTATAATTGATATAATTACCGTTCCAGATTATTCATTTATTAAAAAAAAAAAAAGTCAATACTCATAAATCATAATAATATATTCATATATATATATACATGAATTACTTTTAATAATACAATTTATAAAAACTTACTCTTCTTATCCCTTTTTGATTTCGGCATATTTAATTTGTATACGTTACTTGTTTACACTTGTAATGAGGTTATTAATTATTAAGTTCTTTTAGTTGGATTTTAGTAGTTAGTAAATAAATAAAAAATACGAAATATCAATGTTTGAATATTTTTATAAATTGTTTTTAAAAATGTTAACATTAACCTCGAAATATTGTCCATGTGGGCCTGCAAATTGCAATGCAATAACTGATAAGGATCTCATTGTGATAAAACATTGTACTAGTACAGTGTTTCCAATATAACATGCTGGCGCCACTTTAATATTTTATTAAATATACGGAATTCGAATCCTGATAAGTGATCTGTACTAATCATGATTATAAAGAACTTTATAAATTATAATCATTCTTACAGCTTACTTCTTTATAATAATTAATAGTGTCTGTAATCTGCATTCTGATTTCTGTTATTTAGGTACTTACAAGAAATTTAAACTAGGTTTACTGACAGAGACTGTTTTACCATGACAAACTTGTCATGAGTAACGATGATTAAATTATAGTATATATGGTTTTAAGCATATATCTTTTACTCAAAAACAACGTAATGATTTATTCATTGTACCACTAAATAAATTCCTTTTTCCTTGGTTTAAAAAGTATTTACTTTTGAAAATAATACACAATAAGTAAAACTATGCCATAAAAATAACTAAAAACTATCTATAATTTATTTATAGTCGGTTAGCTACGTATATTTTTTCCAGAACTTCCATTTCCTTTGTTCACTTCACACATCTTATTGTGATTGTAGCATTTACCCACTTCTTTGGTGTGTCTCTGTCAATATACTGTACTACACTACACTTGGTCTCTCTTATTTGTGTTCCTATTTTATTTTTCTCCTCTTTCATTTAATATGATTAATCTATCTCTATCTAATCTCTCTTATTTTTCTTTCTATTGTCTTATCTTTTCTATGTAGATGTTTTATTTAATTTACCCTTCCCCCTTTAGGGAATATTATACCTGTTATTTTGATAAATAAAGCTCATTGCAATTTGTTGGTGGACAACATCTATGTAGACTGGTGTGAAAAGAAATGTTGGTACTTTACGTTTTATCAACAGAAAGCCTGACTTAATTAATTTAGTATTAATATTATTTTTTAAAAAGCATGTACTTTGATTTAGAAAACTTAAATTTTTTTTAATGTTTTTTTGTTATTTTAGGAGTTGCCCCAATTGTTTCATTTTTACCTACAATAGCAAAACAGTTGGGTTATTCCCCGATGGTTGTTGGTACTATTTATGCAATTTTGCCGATCTTAAGTTTAATCACCAAGCCTGTAGTCGGAGCAATTGTGGATCAGTATCGTGTTAAAAAAACTGTTTTCTTGATATTTATTTTGATTTCTGGCTTGATATCATTTGCATTGATGTTCATACCGGAAGTACCGTTAGATACTAAAGCTCAACTGAGTTGTGAAGGTTTGACATACCTAAATGTGTATCATGATGGTCATGTATCGGAATGTGACGCTAAACGAGTTATGGATATGACGAGTGAAGGATTAATTGGATGCCAAGTAATTAAAAGTTTCCTGGTTTTTCTTTTATATTTTTTGCATACTACTTATCTACTTGTAATTATTTATGTTATAATTTATTTCATAAACAGATGAAATGTGAAAAAACTCCTGGATTTCAAAATGAACTGTGTAATACTTGGTCAATTACAGAGTATTGTCCTCGCTCTACTTTATTAAATGCTAACAAAAACGTTTCATCAGAACAATTTATTAAGACTAGCTCAAAAAGAAGTAACGAGAAATATTATGATGATAGATATGTTTATATGACCGTGGTCATACAAATGAATATTACTGAACGAGTTAGTGTACAAAATATTAAATTATTGACTAATAATTTTAAATTGAAAAAAACATTTATAATATTTTCTATATATAAAATTGAAATTATATATTTTAGGTGAAGGATATCTTCTACTTTCGTGTATCCTCAGCTCGATTCTTTTCAGAGGCTGCAGAAGTTATAAATCATTCGCCATCTTGTGGAAATCACACAACAACACAATGTGAAGTCCAATGTTCTAGTGAAACTATTATGGATTTAATCACTTCACCAAAGTACAAAGGAAGTGTTTTTGACTTGGATCAGTTCTGGGTTTTTTTTCTATTTGTCAGTTTGTTTTGGATAAGCCAGGCAGCAGTTTATAGTCTCGGAGATACTATATGTTTTGATTTACTTGGTAATTTAATATTGATTTTTGAAATTACGTTAATACTTTTTTATGACGCACTAGACCTGTTCTTAAGAGTTTGACCAATTTTTACTTCAAAATTTTTATTTTTTCTATATAATATTCACATTTTTAAACACTTTAATATATTTTATAAAATGTGATTTTTTTTAGTAAAGAAAAATGATTCAGTTTATAATTAAGTTTTGGTTTTTTTTTTACCAAGGTTTAAAAGTTGGTAAAAGTTACAACAATTGAAAACTATCCCTTATTGATACAAAGTAATGTCTTGTAATTTTATTTTATTTTTGGTTAACCATTACAGGTAACAGTCCTAATAAATATGGCAAACAAAGGTGCTGGGGTGCCATTGGATGGGGTTTTTTCACCATTATTGCTGGATGGCTTTTAGATCTTTTCAGTTCGAGTGAGGTGTTCAAGAATTATATGCCAATATACTATTTATGTTTATTAGTGTTGCTTGGTAACTTTTTCACAGCATCAAAAATTGAGGTATTTATTCAAATATAGTAAGATAATAGTGATATTTGATAACATTTATCTTGTGTAATAAATAAGATTTTGGAAACAAAAATATCTACAAACATTTTCCGGGATATTGGTAGATTGTTGGCCGAAATCAAAGTTCTTGGTTTTCTCGCGTGGACCATAGCGTTTGGAATTTGTACCTCAATGATTTGGCAGTATCTCTTTTGGTAAAAGAATTTACTCATTTTGTTGAATTTTGATATTATTGTTAATGTTATTATTTAATTGCATTAAATAGGTACCTTGAAGACATAGCATCGATGTATGAATGCAGCACTCAAGCTTGGATTAAAACCCTACAAGGATTAGTTATGGGCGTTCAGACTTTTGGTGGGGAAGTGCCGTTCTTTTTTTGGTCGGGTTGGATAATCAAACGTTTGGGTCATTTGAATTGCATGTCTTTAGTGTTGGGAGTGTTTGCATTTAGATTTTTTGCATATTCGTTACTGACCAGTCCGATTTGGGTGCTCGCTATTGAATTTACCAACGGAATCACATTTGGATTAGCGTATGCCGTTCTCATGTCGTATGCCAGCGTCATTGCGTTGCCAGGTACTGAGAGCACTATGATTGGTCTTGTCGGTGGTGTTTTTGAAGGAGTAGGTTAGTATAATACATCGTTGATTGGAGTAGTCTTAAAGATATACGCTGTATGTACTTATAATACAAATTATCTATTCTAACCCTGTGTATACAATTTTTAGTATGTATTTTTATTTTTAACATGTATAATTACAGGCGTGTCGTTGGGCAGTTTATGCGGAGGTTTTTTGTATAACACCTATGGTGGAGCAATGACCTTTAGACTGTTCGCTTTTGGTGCTGCGTTCATGTGTATTGTTCATTTATTATGCCAAAATTTACTTAAATCAAATGGAAAGTTAAGTTTACCAAGTAAGTTATAATAGTATATTAATATAATTAAATCCTTTTTTTTTCTTGTACATTTTTAAGTGTTGACTTCAGTTAAGTTTTTATTAAAAAAAGGATAATAATCATATTATTTAGAGTACTCAAAAATGTATTAATTTGTTCGATTTTGGCCTGATGTTTTGGACTACAAAACTGAGTTCTTTTTCATGGTTAGTTCATTGTACCATACAACCCACCTATATTCTTCTCTGCATTAGTCTAAGATGTCAGTTCCAAACTGAGCACGTGGATGTATCATTTGAAAATAATTATAAAATCCATGAGTCATTCATTCATATTAATTGTATTATCAGGTTTTAATGGGGCAATAAGAAAAAACCCTTGCGATATCAAGGATTCAGGTAGATCTGGGTTTTAATTTAATATTGAGCTTTTTATTTTTTATTCATGTGTTTTTGGAATGGCAATCAAATATTTTGTTAAAACTATATTTTTATTAATATTTTCCCTTTAAAAAAAAAAAAAAAAAATCCCTTATATAGAATATTTTTTTATAGCTTAATTAACACAACGACTAATTTTTACGTAATGGTAGTTATAATACTATTTAGTATAATCAATAAAAAAATGATCATGTTTATCTCTTAAAACACTTATTTCCATTGATTATATTAAATTAAAATAAAACGAATTTATCACTTAGTAAAATATGTGATGCTGCTAATCAAAATTGCTTTAAAAATATTTTTCCATAGTATTTTTTATTTTAGGTAATCACTGTGTGAAAAATAACTTTTTTAATACTGATTTGTTGCTTGAGTTGTATGTATAATGATTTTGAAACAAAAAAAGTTTGTCGATAGTCATATTAAAAATTAAAATAACAGTATTTTACGTAAAAATAATAAGTTGCTTCAGCATTTGCCTAGTTGTATTAGCTGTATTATTATTTTGATAACTTACTAATTTGATAACAAAATTACCAAAAATTTGACATATTTTTTTAATAATATAATTTTACAGGATTCATTAGTGGTTCAACTGAGTATGCGAGTCCAAACGAAGCTATTCATATGTTGAGTGAAAATTAGTTGATACTTACTAATTTTGTTCCTAAATTATTTTACCTATTATTATCTCACTTAATATGTGTATATTACGGGTAAGATTTTTATTTATAATTACTTAATTTACAATTTTAATTTATACCCAGTATTCATAAATTATTACTGGACATATATAATATTATTACAATTTAAATACCTAAAATAATAAAATGCTAATTGTATAAACAATATTGTTTTTTATTTTTTTTATTTTAATGTGCTTTTATTTCACAATATTATAGCACGACAATTACTAATAACAATATTGTTTTTATAATTTTTAATAATATCGGTAAAAAAAAATTATAACATTTTTTATTTCATAGTATTATATTGCCATCTCGTCCTTTATGTCCTCATGAACTACTTAAATGCATAATACCTTATAGTTACATATAAGTCGATAGATTGAAAATAAGTAATGATCAATCTTTTTTAGTATATTTGTGAAACAATTATTGAGAAATTATTTATAATTTGGCATCAATCGTTAAATTTTGTTTAAATAATAAAATTAATTAGTTGCCAAGAACTATATAGTTTTACATATAAACTTTTGAAATTGTATATCAAAATTATTTTTCTTTTGCATTGTTTTTTTAACAGAATTTTCGTTTACCATAATTGTTATTTGTTAAAATATTTGTAATTTCTTTTTTTTAGCTCTAGTAGCTTTTTTATTTTTTAATGATGTGGTGCTTTAAATATATTTAGGAAGCTCAAAACATTGTGCATGTACAGGGATATTAATAAAACAACAAATTAATTATTTTATGAATGTTTGTAAACAAATCTGATAAATAGTTTATGTATATAATTATGTACTTAAAAGGTGATATTATTAAGGTGATCGCGGTGTTTTTCAATTTTTGTATTATTTATTAAGAAATCTGGATACCTATTAATTTATTCTGTTTATATTTAAATACTTGTTTGTTTGTTTTACTATTGTATTATTTTTTAATTAAAAAAAAAATATATTGATTATATTATACAGTGGATACTATTTAATAATATATAAAATGGAAGTCGATGTATCTAACATGACTAATAATTCTAGAACTAATAATTAAACATTACATAATTTTTAAAAAAAAAACCTTGCGTTTTAAAGGGTCAGTGTTTAATTTTTGGCATAATCAAGTTTGACAAAAAGTTATGAAGAGTTTTTTTTCCCATAACTTAATGCAGAGTCTAACTAAAAGCTCACATTTGCTAAATCAAACTTTGCAACAATAGGAATACTGAAATTGTTTATTTAGTCTTGTATAGCTAATCATATCTTTCTCAGTCCCTCACCACCTTACAAAATCAAGAGAGTAGGTACCTAAGTAAAATGTATTTAATTTCTTCAGTAACCTTACCGTTTTAATTAACTAAAGGAATAAAATGGCTTTAAAAATTAAGTCTCGAGTTTTAGTAAGGGTTAATCTTGGAAAACCTTTCATCTATAATAGAGAAATATAAAATTTGAACTTCTATGAAAGATTTTTTTGTACTGGAGTATTTCAAATATGGTTGAAAAATGTTGTTTTTCAATTATCAATAATTTAAAAAGAAAATAAACCCTAAATTTGGTACATCTAACGCTGTAAAAAAAAAATCTACATTTAATTTGAGACCAGTTTAGCATTAAATAAAAAAATAAACACACTATTTGAAATAAACGCTATAATAATAATTATTATTTCAATGTACAGAGCATGTTGAAATTACCACAAAACGTTTTGTTTTGCAATAATTAAGTAAAAACGGGTTTTAATAAATTTAATTCTATAGAATAATTATGATGGTTTGTCAATATTTAATGACATTTGAGTCATCATTTCTTCTAAAATTTATTATAATATTAAATATTATTACATGCCTAATTGTTATCACGGTTTTATCGAATAGACCAATTCGTCAACAAGTTATTTTTACCATAAATATCAAACGTGTGTACATTTTTATTAAAAAATAATTGGTCAATTTTTAATAGTCAGATAACGTGTGTAACCATATAATTTAAAAGGAAAATGTTTGAACGTATGTACTTACAAGTTACTATATACATATATAAGTGGTTGTAATATCATTTAGAGTAGTGAATACATTTTGTACGCGTTTATTGCCATCGTATCTATCTGTTTTGTCATGTTGGTAAACGCTCCAGTAAGCGTTAGGCCTGGGTCGATTTCAAACTACGTTCAACGATTTTTCCGAATTCGTTTACAGTTTTTCAATTTTTTTATTTTCATAACTTCTACTTCCGGCTACTTCTACTTCCAAAACGTTGATTTCCACAAGACCTACTTTTGTAACAATATAATTTCCGTACCTTTGGTTTGAGCTTAGCACGACATAAGAAGTTTCATTCAAATAAAATAAAAAATACCCGCACGACCCTTCTGGAGACACCTTATTAGCCATGATTCCACGGTAGAGAGTGTACGATCCTAATGTGTGTGTAAAATCGGAAAAATTAGTTAGAACTTACTGTCTGTCGAACCAATCAAAGATTAATACTATAGTGTTTATTTTTGTGACAATTGATAAATATGATTGTGTCAATTAACTATATTAGGTACATAATACGTGCTTATTATTATATTATTTTATTTATCTTGCAATTGAAACTTTTTTTTCCAACTATAATTTTTTATTTGGAAATTAGTCCATGACAGTACGATATGATTACTAATATATTACTCAGCCACGTGACACACGGATGCACTTCAATGAAGGATTTGCCGCCGTATTGCTGAGTGGGAACGATATCCATTTCGCTCAATGCCGCAATTACCAGCAGACATTATAATATAACAAGTTAGTATTAATATTTTCCATGTTTGTAAAAAAAGTAAGCGAGTTCAGCCGACTTCTTTTTTTTTTTGTTTATGTTACACTCGTCTGGTGAATTGTTTATGAAAATAAGTTTGCTTTACTAATAGCTGTTAAAGGCACTTAAACTTTGACCGTCGAAAAACAATTATAGCAGATCGTCCAAAATGGGTTATTTGCCAAGAATCAACAAACATACGCTTCCAATAAAGTTGCATTTTTTTCTTTACACGAGTAGTAAGTACATATTATCAAAATAAAAAAACTTTTTAAAAGCTCCTGACAACAATTTTTTAAATTGTGTAATTTTTAGGTTTTGATTTATTTAAAATTTATTAATTTGTCTTAGGGGAACGGAAAGGGTCAACTGATCAGTCGACGATCGGCACTGATGGTGGGCAACTTAGTTGTCGAAATACTTTTTTGCTTTAAGTAAATCATTTTTGTGGATTGGGTTTTTTATAATAAATAATAAATAATTTTAATTTAATGAATAATTTGAAATATGATTTTTTTCTGGAAAACCTGGTATAAAAAGCCTATCCAAAGGCAGTTTTATTAAAACAACATGTATTTTTTTCAAAACAAATATGATTTTCCTAGGCTAGGATGAAACCGTGATTTTTTATTAAATTTGTATAGGGTTAGTCATCAAGTACATTATAGTTTAGTGGCCATAAATTATTACCAACAACTTTTGGTATCGAATGTAGCATTAGTATGTTTTAACCCATTGTATGGCCATTCAGACAATATCTAACTGCACAACAAATTATTTATGTACTGTTTGTTTTTACAAGTTTTGAAATATTTTTTTTATGTGTATATTTTAATTTTTGTTTTTTTAGGTGTAGCTCCCATAACATGTTTTTCTGCTACCATAGCGAAGGAGTTGGGATATTCTCCATTGGCTGTCGGCTATATTTTTATGTATTTGTATATATTAGGAATGTTAATTAAGCCCGCCGTAGGATTTATCGTTGACAAATTTCCAATTAAAAAATTCATATTTATGACATCAATTGTATTATGCGGAATTTCCTCTTTCTCGTTGATATTTGTACCAAAAATACCATTGGAGACGGCAGCTAATTTTACCTGCGCTTTAGAACAAACAACAATAAACATTTGTTTGGGAAATGATCAGCAGTTGTCCGAATGTGACGATAGTTTATTTGCAGACTATAAAAAAGAACCGATTACGTGCAAGGTATGTAACATCTACATTTTTATTAAGAACTTTATAACTGGACTAAATGTCCGTAAGTCCGTTCAAGATAATTTTTGACATTTAATAATAAAATATTTTTATAGTTGGACTGCGAACAAAATCAATCGTTTCGAGACGAAATAAGTAAATCGTGGAACGTAACCGATGATGATTCAATCAATAAACTTGGCGTTTCATTGATTATAAACATTACAGAAAGGGTACATATACAAATAATGCGTTTCGAGTATTATTTTTAAGTATTGTTGTATGTTAATATATTTTAGTTTAACGTAAATGCGTTAGTTTTTCATTTCAACAACTGCTTGCCTAGGTAGAACAATGTTTTGTTTTCCCAATTACATACTCGCAAATCGGTCAAACGCGAGTATTGTCGCCAGTTTGCTACCACCCTGTAGAAAATCTTTGCAAAATTGATTGTTCCAACGACGATCTGATGGAATTAGCTACTTCCAAGAAGTTCAAGGGGAATGTAATGAAATTGCACACGTTTTGGCTGTACATGACACTGATGAGTATCGCTTGGGGGTCAATGGCGGTTATTTGGTGCCACCAAGACACGATTTGCCTAGATATTTTGGGTAAGTGGGAAATGTGGGTTTGGATTATAGGTCTCGACCACTGGGTAACATATGATGCGTTATTTATTTCCCATAAGGAGACAAATCCGAAAATTTTGGAAAACTACGGTTCTGGACATCTGTTGGCTATGGTTCATCATCGGCAATCGGAGGACTACTGGTCGATCACTTCAGTCACAGCGGAACGCATAAAAATTATACTCCTATATATTATTGGGGTCTGATATTAATCATTTTAAATTTTATCGTCGCGTTTAAACTAAAAGTAAGCTTGTCAGTAATAAAAAGTTGTTAATTCATTGGCAATATTAATACTATTATCGTGTATAGGTAATAGAAGCAAAGAACCCGAAAAATGTATTTAAAAATGTTTTGCAAATATTTACTCGATTCCACGTCATTAGTTTTTTCCTATGGACCGTTTGTTTGGGCATGTGCACTTCGATGCTTTGGAATTATCTCTGTTGGCAAGTCATAGTATTGCGATGATTTACGGTTACTATATTTACATATATTACCAAACCTTCAGATTAGTCATAGTATGAAGGTTTGGGAAAAGGTGATAGAAAAGTGAATACGGAGTAGTGAGATTACAATATCGAAGAATCAGTTTGGGTTTATGCCAGGAAAATCAACTATGGAACCACCAATATTTTGTATGAGGCAAATTGTGGAAAAATACAGGGAGAAAAAAACTGTGTATGGTAATTATAGATTTAGAAAAGGAATATGGTTGAGTTCCCAGAGAGTTTTTGAGGTGAACGTTAAGGAAGAAACGAGTTCCTAGGGTGTATGTGAAAGTAATAGAGGAAATGTATGAAGGGGCGAGTACAAGAGTGAAGAGTGTCCGTGGAGAAACGGAAGATTTTAGTGTAAGAGTAGGGACAATCGTGTTTGATTTTGGAGAAAGTCGAGACAGGCAATGCAGACAGGTGATGACGAAATGTGTGAGGTTGATAGGCTTAAGTACTTAGAATCGACGGTACAAAAAAATTGTAGGTAGGAGGAGGACGTGAAAAATATAATAAATTGTAGATGGATGAAGTGGAGGGGATCGTCGGGTGTTTTGTTTGCCTATAAGATTAAAAGGTAAATTGCATAGGTCGGTAGTGAGGCCAGCCATATGTATGTGGGTCGGACAGTAGATAAGAAAACTGAACAGAGAATGAGTGTAGTGTAGATGAGAATATTTAGATGGGTGAGTGTAGTGACTAGGAAGGATAGAATAAGAAATGAATACATAAGGGGGGTCTAGTAAGTTGCATCAATTGTTGAGATAATGAGAGAGAATAGTTTGAGATGGTTCGGTCATGTTATGAGAAGAGATGAGGCAGAGGCGGTGAGAGGTGTTTGAAAATAAATGCAAAGGGAAAAAAAGGAATAGGAAGACCGAAGAAAAGATGGATGGACGGAACAGAGAGTGATATGAAACTAGCTGGGGTGATTGAACGAGATGTAGAAGACCGTGCTCTATGGAGGTGTAGAATTAGGGTGGCCCACCCCATGTAGTTGGGAGTGTAAGGAGTGTAAAAACATAAAGAAGAAGAAGAAGATATTTATATATTCTAACGCTGTTCATACAGGTACTTGGATGACATGGCTATGGAGTATCAACACGGACAAGATTGGATCAAAACGATACAGGGCTTAACTTTTGGAATTCAATGTTTAGGCGGTGAAGTGCCGTTTTTCTTTTTCTCCGGTTGGATAATAAAACGGATCGGCCACAGGCATTGCATGTCCCTAGTGTTGTTTGCTTTTGCCATTCGTTTTTTTTTGTACTCGATTCTAACCAATCCCTTTTGGGTATTGCCCATCGAGTTCCTGAGTGGTATCACGTATGGATTGGCTATGGCGGTGTTGATATCGTACTCCAAATGTATTGCACCCCCCAACACTTTAAACTCGGTTGTAGGAATATCACAAGGATTAAACGACGGCGTTGGTAAGTTTTTCAGTTTTAGTAAGTTAAAATACCTACACAATACGACTTTACCGCTCATGGAGACCAAATGGTTTTTTAATTATAGATTTAAATGTTTGTATTGTATTCCTATTGTTGATAACCCTGATAGCCTCATCCGATTAATTTTCTCATCAAGAAAATATTAAGAAAGTTCAATCGTAAAACCCTGTTTGAGTACTAATCGTTTTACTTGAAATTCTGTCTACGCGGCTATTATTATAATCAAAGCAATATCGTTGTTCCTGACCCAATCAAATTTTATCCTTTAATAAAAATGCAATAACATATTTTGGATTATTAAACATATTTTATATTTCACAGGTGTGTCGTTAGGAGCTTTGATTGGTGGCGTGTTATATGATACATATGGTGGATCGTGGACGTTTCAGTTATTTTCTCACGCATGTCTTTCATTAGGCATTCTTCACGTCGTTTACACTTTGATCGGAAAACCTAAAATTTAAAATATAATATTATATCTAATAAAAACATAACGATATACAAAAATAATGTGGTATATAGTCTATATATATATATATATATATATATATATATATATATATATATATGTATATATTTTTTTTATAATAAAACTCGTATTAATCATATAAGATGTACAATTTACAAAATGTAATTTTAACAACAGCTGTTTTATTATTTTACGTAATACAACGTTATAAAAAAATGATCAAAAAACGCCTAACCGATATTTTAGAGGTTGGCCTCTAAAACGAGAATTTTCGAAAACTTAGGTTGGACAATAGTCAAATTGGACTATAGTCAATTATACTAATCGATTGTATACCTAAAAATTACGTCTAGAAAAATAAAATAAAGATTGAGTTCATACCTTCTTACTGAATTCGGGAGAAAGAGTCAAAGGGTTTCTTATTTTCAGTGGTTGAACAGGCTATGTATAAATTATGCTGAACTGGAAAGGTATTGGTTTTACAATGATGTGTGATTTTTTTTTTCTATACCATATCCGCCGAGAGAACATGTTTGCGCATGTAAACTGAAGACTAAGCAACCGTCGAGGACAGGCTTGTAGACAGGGCGGTCTCTGGGGGGAACGCTAGTCACACTAAGTGCCGCGCGGGGATGCGTAGAACGGCCAATTTTCGTCTGGTCGGGCGTGCTCTCTCGGCGGACAAGGGTATAGACACGATCACTTTTTTTTTTAACCGATTTACTTAAAGAGTATCTCTATCGAATAAAAAATCTATGGGATTAGTAATTTGGTGATAAAAAATTAAAAAACTTCACTCCTTCACCCTTAAAATCGGAAAGAACAAAAAAAAAATTAGATTATTTCTCAATTTTTAATTTTGACTTGCAATTGCTTTTTGAAAACGGTCGGATAGAGTTGAATTTTTTATTAATCAACACGACGCCCACGACGCTGTAGCCAGCAAAAAGGAATGATATTTCCAACAAAAATCTAACAGTGAAAAAGGGCCAAGTTCTAGACCCCCTTCCAAAAAAGTTTGTAAAATGCTCTGAAAGCTTATATCCTAGCCAATAATAGTCTATTATCATAAAATAAAATTGGGTTTAGCTCTTGCAAGCTTTTAACTTCAGATACTCCCATGTAAGACATTTAATAACAATGAACATAATAATATTTAAACTTTGTTTTATTCATAAGGTTTTACCCGGCTACGCCAAGATGGTCTTTTTTTTAATTTATTTGTTATTATTGTGTAATGCCACTCACAGGATAACAAAGTGAATTAATATCGGTGTATATTACACTGTTAAAAAAATATACATAAGTAGATTAGTATGTCGCCTAACAGATTACAGAATACGGGATCTGTTCTGAGTATACCTAGTCTTGAAAAAAAAAGGGCAAGGGAGGGGATCTATCCCCCCCCCCACATATTTACTCCACTGCTTAGCCACAATTTAGATACCATTACTTTGATGGGTCGAGTACTTGGCCCTTTTTCACTGTTAGGATTTTGTTGGAGATATCATTCTTTTTTGTTGGGTTCAGCGTCGTGTTAATTTTTTACGAGGCATTGGTGGGAGCATTTTGAAAATTGGGAACAGAGAGCCGCGCGTTTGATTCACGCGGCCGCCTCGAAGATTTTGCTCAATACAATTTTTCTTAAAAAAGAGGAACTTGCAATTTTTTTTATATTCAGAACGAACGAACGAATTCTCCGACGAAGATTAACATGAGTATAGAGTATATAAACTTAATTAAATAATGATATTATTACGATTATTAAAATATTCCGTACTTGATGACCGATAAATGAAATTACGAAAACATTATGTTTGATAAGAATTTACTGTCAATTACAATCAATTGCGTGCCTATTGCCATATTGTAACACTAAAATCCTTTACTAAAGCCCTTTACTACATATATGACTACACTACACTACATATTATACTACCGTATAAGAATAATATGTTGTTGTATAATTCTACATTTATCGTCTTTTTAAAGCAACGATGTCTTTTACCAATATGATTTATCTGTACTTATGCAAAATGACATTACTTAATTGTGATGAATCAATAAGTTCATTCAATTGACGATTTTTATTAGCTGTATTATCAAGGACTTAATGGCTCTCGAAGTCCATAGCGGTCAACACTGTACAGCCGTCTAAAGTCCCTCTGATCCAACGAATACCACGTTCGACTTACTGTACACTAGATCGTTGACTTTTGACACTTTAATAGATTAAGTTAACCCGCTTTCTGACTAGTCGGCAAACAATAATCAGTTGAGGTGCTAGGCTGTAAATGCTTTCAAGGCAGTGACAACACTCAAGACTGTTAAGACTCCCAAAAGGCCTACGGTTGAATTATTGTTGCTTACCAGACTGCGATCATAGAAATAAGAAAGAAAGTAGATGATTTAGAGGATAGAAATTAAATAAATAATAACTTAGATTTTTGGTGATGAATAATTTTGCATAAGCACTAGACAGAAATCGTATAAAGAAGAAGTTATTTTAACTGAGGAAAAAAAAAGTACAAGATCTTTCAGACAGCGCTCTACTTCACCAACTAGATTGTTGTGGAGAAATAGAACGATGTATGAAGACTGGATCAAAGAAAATATAGTTATCGGGTCGAACGCAATATACAAACAAATTAAAACGCCTAAAGTAGTAAACAATATTAATAATACATATGAGCGTGAATTATACAGAGTGAACCACTTAATATCTCATAGGGTTTAATAAGAAATTTAATTTTTTTTCTTCATATTGTTATTATACAATGGGTACAATTTTTCACAATTAGCTTTGTAGTTACCCCCTCCAAAACTAATTATTTTTATATTAACTTTTAAAACCTAATTGGCAACGTATATATTTTATTGAATTTTAAGAAAATTTTACTAAAAATGTTGACTGCTTGATAACCAATTTTGAACAACTATTTTTAAAGTTATAAAAGTTTAAAAGTTAAGACGAGATGGTAAGTACGGTTGGGAAGTCGCGTAGATAAAAATAATACTACACTCCACCTTTCCTTCTACCTTAAACTTGAAATTTCAATAACTTAAAAAAATAGTTATCCAAAACTAGTTATCGACCAGTCAACATTTTTTTTTTGGGGGGGGGGGGAGGAACATAAAAATCTGTGAAACATTTAATTTCTCATTAAACCCTATGAGATATTCAGTGGTTCACGATAAAATAATCACCTTGTATTTGTAAAGTACTATATTTTGACTCTTATAAATTACCTTCTTAAACTAATATTTAAAAACAATATTGTCAACTGTTTAAAAAAAAGACTACCTAGTTAAAAAAAAATATATTTAAGGGAGAATGAGAAGAATAAAGATGATAGGTGAAGTCACCTATACCAACGAAGGAGAAGGGACTTCTTAATTAGATAAGTTAGGATCAGAACAAGTTCCTTTCCAAAGGAAACTTTCTCGATTATTATAATATTTTATATTGAAGCAAGAAAATATAATAGCATGTTTTGTTATTATTATATGTATGTTGTATAAATGCAGCACTTTTAGACATGTTTAATACTAAATCAGTCATCAGGGATTTTTTTCCCGCAACATTGGTGTCCGTTTCTTACCCTTCTCCTTTTCATAAAACGGATTTTCTCCGTTTTAATATTCTCGACTCCTGGTGCCTTAAGTGTCTTACTTCATCCATGTGTTAATTTATATTATAAATGTTAAACAAGTAACTATTAACTAAAAAATTACTATTATAATAATATGTTCACTATCATCTATATATATATATATATATATATATAAATGAATGTCTGTCTGTCTGTCCTTTATGCATTAGTACACCATTCATCCGATCGCCGTGAAAATTTGGGAAGTTGTTAAGTACACTCCCACAACCTAACTGGCATAGTACTTTTTGAAAATTCCACCCCTAAGGACGACCTCAAACACGAACTTAATACTTTAAATACGACATTTTTTCCGTTGCTAACACAAAATAAACACTTGGTTTGTAACCATGGTAACCATGGTACTCGAGCGAATTGTAGGTGATGATTAAAGGTACAGGCCGATTCTATGTACCATCAATATAATGTAATGTACATATGTAGTCTATATATATATATATATATATATATATATATGAATGTATGTTTGTATGTCAATATAATGTAATGCACTTATGTAGATCCAAAAAAAAGCCGAGACGGGGTATGCTAAAGCTTTACAATATACAGCCTGGAGACCTGATTTTTTTTTAATCTTATTTGTAATTATTTTATTCAGCCCTGGCAAACTAAGTCCCGGGCAACGCCGGGTCTGGACAACTTGTTTTGTTATAAAATAAAACATTAGTAGCTAAAGATTTTTAAGAGGAAACCAGTTTTAATGACTCCCCTAACAGCCTCCGCCGCCACGAGTATTAATATGATTTATTATCCAGATTACCCACTAATCAATGAACACCTATAAATACAATCTTTATTAAACCTTAAATTTTTTTATCAGTTGTTCTATTTATTTCAGGTCCAATAGTCTAAATTAGACTATTTTTTTCAAACATACTGTACAACTTGGCATGTTCAATAGTTTATCTATAAAAATATTGCATCCACTTGATAACACAGACACTGCGAGTACATCGAAAAGACAGCTACATATTTTTAGTAAAATAGAGGAGCATTTGCTTTCAGATAGCAAACGATACAAATATTTCATAAATGTGTTCTAAAGTTGAAAATAAAATAAATTTTATATAAAAAAAAAACATATTTAAATACGAATATACTCGTATGTAAAAAATAATTTGTATTGACCTAATAAAAAGTTTGATAGCTACATCAATTTTAAAATGTCTCAAACAAAGTGTAATACAAGTACGTTGCCAATGAAGTTAAGTTTCTTCTTTTATTTAGGAGGTAAGCGTGATTAAATTATAAAATAATGTTTATTACTATAATTTCGTTATTACAATAAACGTTGATCTAATAAGGTCGTATAATAATTTCACTAAATTTTATATTCAAAACGTTCTCACGGAGTACAATTTTGGTTTCGAAAGAGAGTTAATAACGATTTTAAACTATATATATATATATGTATACCTTCACAATGCAATGACTTAAACTACAGTTTTGTTTCAGTAAAAGTAAATTTATACTTTTAGTAAAACTATACTACAAAATCAATGTATGCGTTACAAATTTTTATTTTATTTAATAACCGTTTTAGGTGACTCTAAAACAATAATTTGTTATAATTAATTAAAACCGTGGTGTATATTATTTCGATTTTAGAATGACTACTAGTTTTTGGAGAAAATTAAAAAAAAAACACACGTTTTTTTTCGTAAGTTCTGTTATTACTGTTATAACATTACATTCATACAGGTTTAGTGAAACATATAAAAAACATTAAAAACAATTTTTTTTTTGTTTTATTTAACTGACACGTAATATGTTGTTGATTTTTTTTATTTTTACAAATCTATAGCAAGGTTGAAAATGTTATAAATTATTTTTTTAATACATTTTCTTGAACTAACATGATATTCATAAATACAATAATAGAAAATAGAATGCGATACAAAAAATATGGAAAACTGAAGAATTATCATGTTTGCACACTAGGAACATTAGTTGTCCAAAATTATTGAATTGGCAATTGAGAGTAAGTAAGCCTAACTGTGTTTAGCTTAGAAGTTCTGAAAGAATATTTTGATTTTATGATATTGTAATAGTAATTAATTATTAATGCTGTTACTTCTATAATTTTTAACAACGCACGAAAAGTTTTTTGTTGTAAGCTATTCGTGGTTTAAAGATACTCGTATGTATTTTTATAAATTAATCGCTTAATACAGAAAAGGCACATGTCCACTATTTTACAAAAATCACTTTTTTACATTATTAAATTTAATATCGATAAATACATGGTTTTGTACAAACGAGGCACATATCGTATTTTTCGTTCTAAATGTCAATATAATAAAATATTTGTGACTCCTTGTCATAAACTAAACTACTGTAAATCATATTAATGTTATTTTAATTTTTGGTAGTATAAAAGCTACATATTTATAAGAAAATGTTATATTCTTAGTAATTTGAAGCATAAACGGCACATCAACTGAGTGAGTTTCGGATATATCCACGTCGAATGTTGTGTGCCAACGTTTCGGACTCTTTGCAGAGTCCATCTTCAGGGCAATAGTGGTCTCGACTGTTCAAATGCCGTGACCATACTGACTGCTTCGCTCATTCCCTACCGCTATTTATACAAAATAAAAATGTTGGCACACAACATTCGACGTGGATATATCCGAAACTCACTCAGTTGATACATCAATCCACGAAAGTTTTAACGCATTCAAATAAACGGCACATGTCCAAGACCTTAAAAATCTTTAGGTACCTAAAGTTTTATAATATTTATGTAAATGTCTGTAGAACCATGTAACATTTTTTTTACATAGTTTTTGTTTATGAACAGATTAAAACACGTTTTACTGTATTTGAAAATTGAAAATTTGTTTTTGTGTTTTATGAGTTAGGTATAAGGAAATTTTATCTGGAACAGAATTATAAAATGTAAGGTTTTATTATTAAGTATGAGAGGCTGATTAATGATTATTCATAGATGAAACAGTCGAGACGGTAACAAGGCTACATCGTCCATTAATAAGGATTAAAGTATAGGCGATTTTTCGTAAATTTTATTTTAGAGCTTGATTGTGTAAGTTATCAAATAATTAAAAGCGCTACGGCATAGTTAAAGTTCTTCTGTATTCATTAAAAAAAAATGTACGGTTTCTGTATGTACCGCCCTTACATACTGGCCGTGTGATAAAAAAATAGTATATTTTTTAGGGAGGAAACTCCCTAAAGTTTCCCTCTTTTTTTTTTATGTATAGAAAAGTAAGTGTTTTTAACTCATTGTTTTATAAATTATCTATGCACGTGTTTGACCACCGACAGTGAAACACGAGTGTCGCCAGTGCGATTTTATCAGCTGCCGATAAGCATTTTAGTAGTTACGCCACTTAACAGGTAATATGGACATTATTAAATAATACCGTAGGATCTGAAATGAGCACTAAGAATCTATTAGGCAAATCGCCTAACACTTCAACAGCCACGCAAAAACACAACCCAAACGTCATATCAAAACCAACGGGTAACCGAACCCAAAATAACATCACTCCAAAAATACAGCAAACCCCTACCTCTGCCAAATCACCAATAATAAACCAATACCGCATATCAATGCCGAGCCAGACGGTCGGTACCAACTAGAGCTTCTTATTTCACGTGTACACGAAAATACGTGTATTCGAACTTTTGAATAGTTCGTGTTTAAGTTCATATAGTTCGTGTATTCGTGTTTTCGTGTATTCGTGTATATGTACATTCGTGTTTTCGTATATTCGTGTATTCGTGTATTTGTACATTCGTATATTCGTGTTTTCGTATATTAGTGTGTTAGTATATTCGTGTAATTGTATATTTGTAACTTAATCGCCATTTACTTATTATTGTTTTATAAATTCCGAGTACACTTATTTAATATAGAATTGATTATATATGTAGGTTGTCTTTGATTTAGCCTTATTAAATACATATGTATTATGTATATATTTTTTTTATAATTTACAGGGTCTTATTTTTTAACTAATTTTTTTGAATAAAGTGTGAGTCTATAAAAATTAAACTGTAAATAATACTTATATTATATAACATAATTTAATCATTCAATATTATTTTAATTTCAGTAAAAAAACCTGAGTAAATAATTACAAAATTCCAGCTTTTATGTCATATATAATATAATGTTTATCATAAATAACAAATTATATAATTTTGATTATACTTCATTATTAACAAATATGAACTTAATAAACAATAACGTTACCTACAAAAAATCATAGAAAAAAAAATACAAATATAATTTTCACTACTAAATAAACAATTTATAATATAATAATTGTGACAAGAATAACTCAAAATATCAATAAGTGATATAATTAAGATTTGAATCTACAATTATCGTCTTAATCCTCTAAATAAACCAAATTCATTACAAATTTGCATTCCCTGACAGAAATATTTGAATGTAATAATGGGTGACAAAAATTATTTACACAATAAAAAAACATTTTTCCTAAAATAAAGACAAATTTATAAATTGTTATAAAATGCAAAATTCAACGATTGCAAGAAAATATGAATATAAAAACAAATTTACAAAAACTATGAAAGCTTTATTATTATTAAACATTAATGGTTACATTTATAATATATTATATTTTATTTTACATTTTATAAAGCTATCTTTGGGGGGGGGGGGATTTTGGGGGTCGAATCTCTCCCTGAATATGTTTTCTGTAAAAACAGGTTTTTTTAATCATCCTAAAAGTATAACATATATTTTTGAAGACATCTCCAATAGTTTGGTCCCTAGGTACTTACAATTTTGTTTTATCGATAACTAGTCTTAAATAATATCTTGATAATAAAAATTATTATTGATAAAAAGTGTACATGAAAGGTGCCCCTTTTGGCAATATAATTATTAACTCTGTACTCTTTTAAAAAACACCCTTAACCCCTCTAAATGAGAAGTAAATTTTAACATAGGCATTACATTTGAATATTCTAGACTTGTGTGTGCTATGGCGTAACCATGTGAACAATTCACTATATCCGTACATTCGTTATTCGAATACCCGTTTTCACGAATACCCGAACATTCGTTAGTCGAATACCCGTTTTCATACGGGTACGTATGAATTCGTACGTGTTCGAATAGAACATTCGTGTAACGAATACACGAATGTTCGCTTTCACGTACTTGACTGAGACCTCTAGTACCAACAAACACTACCCCTCCCCGGCCTTCAGCTCCGCAACGTCTACCTTTTCCATCAATACACCGCACGCAATCGGTATCGCAACCGCTAATGAACCCGATACCGAGATAACCGCCAGCATTACGAACACCGCGCTTACAAGCCATAAAGACGGACAAAATGCCTTTACACATACAAACCCAACACAAACAACATACATGACAACAAATAGCTCTAACAGAAATTTTGCTTCAATAACGGCAAATTATAATTCGCCCAAAAGAGACCAAGCTCTCGTATTCAACTCCATCGATGGGGTTCCACAAAAAGAATATATTCTGGCCGTAGGTCAAATAGTATCACCAAAAAATATCACCTTCGTGTCCAGAATCTCCAATAACCGCTTCTGTATATTCTTATCTAATAAAAGCACATTAGACGCACTGTTGGAAAAAACTAAAATAATTACAATAAACGATCAAGAAATTCAATTACGCAGATTAATCAATCCAGCCAAGAGCATAATCATCTCAAATGTTTGCCCCACCATACCCAATCAAGCGATACTTAACGCCCTCAAAGATGTTGATATAATTCCCACATCCCAAATTAATTATTTAAAAGCAGGAATAAATATTGAAGGGTACGAGCACATAATGAGTTTTAGAAGACAAATGTATATAAAACACGAGGACACAAATAAAATCCCGGGATCACTAGTAATTAACTCAAACGGATCCCAATTTCGTATATTTCTCACCGACGACTCAATCACTTGCTATACTTGTAAATCTACCGGACACACTTCCAAATCCTGCAAAAAAGATATTTTAGACGAATTAAGCACCCAATATTCCGATAACCAGTACCCAAAATTACTACAAGACACTCCATCAAAAGAAGTTACCGAAAGGGTAGATCATTCTCCCCCTCCCAAACCCGCCCAAATTTCTGACTCGTCCGACGTCGGTAGACCCATGGATTGGTCACAAGATGACAACTTATCAATTAACACAATAAAAACATCTTCCCCACCTACAGACACCAACTCACCCGACGAAAAGAATAAGG